AGCATCTCTAGCTCGATTTGGGAATAGTTCCGTTCCGCATCTGAGAGGGCCCTGCTAGCGTATTGCACCACCCTCCAGCCTTTGTCACTCGACTCACGTTGGACCAAGGTCGCTGAGATTCCTAACGGACAGCCATCCACATGAACTTCATGCTCTGCAGCGGGGTCAAAATAGACCAAGACTGTGTCTGAGCTAAGGCCTTCTTTCAAACTCTCGAACGCTTCCTGATGATTTCTCGTCCAGGCAAAAACGTTGGCTTTGAGTAAGCCTCTCAGAAGTTCGGTTTGAGGAGCATACTTTTCCATAAATCTCGCGTTGTATTGCACTGTACATAGGAATGAGTTCAGTTCCTTCGCGTTGCGAGGAGGCTTGGCCGCCTTGATAGCCTCAACCTTTCGCGGGTCAGGGGATGCTCCATCTTTAGAAAACTTCATCCCGTAATACACACAACTTTGCTTATTGAATTCACACTTTCCCTTGTTAAACGTGATCTTCTTTTCTCTAGCCTTCTTGAATAATTTGTCTAGATTCCGATCATGTTCCTGTTGTGTTTTTCCGTACACAAGAATGTCGTCACTGATGTTGAGGCATCCAGGTATGTCTCGGGTGATCTCCCTGCTCACGGTGTCTTGAAAGATTTCACCCGCGGATCTCGTGCCAAAATTTAGCCTTTTGTATCTGTACAACCCGATGTGCGTTGAGAATGTGGTGATGTCCCGACTGTTCTCTTGCAGTTCCAGTTGATGATAGCCATGATTCATATCCAAGTGGGAGAAAACAGTTGCTCCATTGAGCTCATGTGTGATATCCTCGAGAGTAGGCATAATAGTATGGGTCCGCGGAATGGCTTTATTGGCCTCTCTCATATCCACGTTCAGTCGAATTTCATTCGCCGTTCTCTTGGGTGTAATCACGACTGGGGATACCCAACTGGTAGGCTCTTCGACCTTCTCGATTACATCATCTCTTATAAGTCTCTCCAGCTCCGCCTCCAGTTCTCGTCGCCAATGTAACGTTCTGGAGTTCGCTTATACAGTTCGCTTACAGTTCGCTTACAGTTCGCTTACAGCTCCTTTAGTTGTTTGTTATCCTAGATTGTATCACCTCCGTTCTCACTTTACCGTGCATAATAAATACCCGAGTAAATGTCTCCTGGGGCCTTGGGCGTGACTTGGAGGCCTGGACACTACAGGACCCCGCAACAATGTACCCACTGTTTAGGACAGATAGGCTCAAAAACCCTTTGCAGCCTAGCCTCTTTTTATTCTGAATTAGCTATAGTTGCCGGGATCCCGGCAACTTGAACAATGTTGTTCCTTGTTCTTTGTACACATCCGTCATTTAAAGAGAGATACACTGCGCTTGGGTAAGAGCGGCCACGGCAAGCAATCATGTGAAGTATTTGAGAAGTGACCTTGTTTCTTTTCTTTTCAGAATCTTCACGAGGACTGGATACGTAAAGTTAGATATTACCCTTCGTTGCACTGCTTTATCTCCTGTGCTACAGCGACCAACACTTCCATGTACCTCGGAGACGTGGAAAGAAAAACGACGTCAGTAAAACTTGACTAACACATCGCTGTTTCCTTTGCTTCATTTGACAGCTAATTGAAACACTACAATGTGACACGTACCTCGAACACGTTTCCAACAACTACTGATCAATCAGCTCCTGGTGTCTCTAGCATTCTGCGCTCTTGATAAAGCAAATGAATCGAGGAAATAATTGAACTTAGTATATACCACACAAGTGAATAGTGCTTTTCGTTCGAGCTGATTGAGTCCTGATTAGCTAGTTCAGAAGTGAATAGCAAGCACAATTCACCTCCACTTCGGTGAACTGTAATTATTCAATATTCGTTACTTGTGAAATGCATAAAGATTCATAAAATGAACTTAGATACAACGCTCCCTGTCTGTAGTGGCTACTGAGGTACTTAAAGAAAATCTCGAAAGTCATGCAAGTTCCTATTACCCATTCTCCTAACTCCCCTTCGTGTTTGGACCAACAGATTATTAACATAAGAAAGGAAAAGGTCCTTATTTCTTAAATAACAAGTGAAGTAAAACTTGGTAACGGGAACGAATTTTTTTCTTTTAAACCAGCATTTATAATGTTATTGTTCCCTTTTTCACAGGAGCTCTGTGTTTCGTATCCGCAAAGGCATCACGTCGTTTGATTACTGCAAGGAATGGAACGTTATTGGTAAGCAGGAGAAGAAAGTCGGATCAACAACTGTTTAGAGGCTATCACTGTTTCCACTCAGTTCCCTTCCTGGTCAGCTATTGCACGCAATCATAGTTCCATTCCTGTTCATAAATTTGATTTCTTACAGTGTCCATATGTTTCTTTGTCAGTAACTGGTGGCCTCGATCATTATGTCCGCCTGTGGAATCCATATGTTACAGCTAAAGCAACATCGGTAAGTTTGAGACAATTGAGTTCACTGTCATGATCCAAGCGTTCCCCCTCTGACCAGTTTTACCCAGAATATTGGTGCTTAATGGCATACAAAGCCCCCACAAACTCCTGTCACCGGCTCATTCGACCATTATTAGACAAAAACGTAGTGATTCTTTCCCTATTTTTCTCTGCTGTCCTTCTTCCTTACTTTGTTTCGGGTTTGTTGCGCTTTCGTTACCTTTCTGAATTATTGATAACAGTCATGCTTTTCCAGACATTTTTACTCCTGTGATAAAACGTAAGCTGCATGCCACAAATCAAGAATTTGAACTCAGATATATCGTCAAATTAGACTTGTGGATCTGTCAGCGTTCGTCGTTCATTTGCAGTTCCAAACCCTGCACAGTAGACCGGGATGCGACTTGAAATTTACGACTCCAGCGACGTGTAATTCAGTTAACCTCAGATCAAACAAAGTTAAATTGACTACAATAAGATAAAAAGTATCATCAACATGATGCTACGAATCTTTTTTAGGTGTTAAAAGGTCACAGTTCAGCAGTGACACATATCTTAGTGAACAGTGACAAAGGAGAGATAATCAGCGCTGCTCAAGACAAGGTATTCATGTCTTTCTATCATTTGAGACTATATACGGTAAAATGCATTTTTTAAGCATTGATAAGTGGACAGAACATGGCTTCTGAGCTCACACACCAAGGAATTCCGGCAACCCAGCACCACACACCTCCACTTCTCTATTTACTCTTTCATGTCCAACCTGTCCTCGTGAATCAAATATACTCCCCGGAAATGATTTAAAATACAGGATACTAAGCTACCTTAGAGATCCCAAAGATAAACGAAGGATAAAACGTATCTGGATTGCGTAAAACAGTTTTTTTTAATGGTTCAATTAATCTTAATCACAATTGAAAATCGAAATTGGGCAGCGTTGGTATTGCTTTGCCTCGCCCGAGATTACAATCAGGAGGAGGTGATTCATTTCAGATAAGATTATTTTGATTTTCATATTGACAGGCTATCAAGATATGGGACATGCGTGACCTTTGCTGTGTACAAACCATTCCTGCACGCTCCCTGTTACCAGGCCCTCACGTGATCTCCAGCCTCTATTACAACTCATATTCTCACTGCATTTTTGTAGGAACCAACCAGGTGACAACATAATCTCTCCTTTGCGATGCAACTCAGCATAATCCGACATGCCATTTCATATTAACCTTACCATTGCAGGACAATGTTTAACTGAGTCGTTTTGAGTGTTTATTCGCAAAAAAATTTCAAAGATCCGTTACATAAAATAACTTTCCCTCCTTAGTTGCACCTGCTGATGATGAACGCTCCTCTGCAAGAGTTTTTACCTTGTTTATCATACAGACATAAAAAACCATTGGGTGGTGATAAATGTCGTTAAGGTGCCACTTTGAACCTTTTCAGAGACAGGACAACGTATCGAGATTTGCTATGTGACATTCATTTTTTACCTTTTCCGGAAACAAAGAAATGACCAAATCTTACGTTAGCAAATCTTACATGACCAAATCTTGCATAACCCAATCTTGTGTATTTCTAACATTGTTGTCTTGTTACTGTTGAATTATTAGTTATCAGTCATTACTGTTGAATTATTAGTTATCAGTCATTACTGTTTAATTATTAGTTATCAGTCATTATTGTTTAATTATTAGTTATCAGTCATTGAGGGTAAAAAGGATGAACCATCAGAGGAACATACCATCACAAGTCATTCCAAACCGCTTTGTGCTGCTATTTATAATGATCTGTTTGATCAGGTAATCAACTGCAACATACAGTGAATCATTACAACGTCAAACATCAACTACTTTGCAGATCGTGTATCACATATGATCCTCTTACATGGTCAAGATCGCCAACGAAATCTCTGTCGCTAAATATTTGAGCAACCGGCAATCGAAGAAGCAAAAGAAGAGCGTTCAAGTCTAAACCCACAGCTTTGAGGTTCAGTTGCTGGCATGCACTTGACAAATTATTTTCACAACCACTTGCTTTCTGCAACCTACGAATCAATTTGAATCAAAGCGTACAAATGAATTAAGGAAGAAACCCGCTTCCTAATAGATGCATTGCTTGTTACGTCTTAGCAGCTCGCGCTCCAGTTTCGGAGTAGAAGACTCTGAATTGTTTAGAACCACTGTGGGTTGAAAATGATATACAGGCCTCAGGCATTACAGTAAAAACCTCACAATTATTTTTTTTGCGATTCCTACCCTGGCTGACAATACTTTGTATAAACTTATTTGAACAGGTTGTAAGCGCTTGTCATGAATCTGTGGTTTGTGTTTGGAGCCTAGAGACAGGCGAGAAAATCATCCAATTTTCCAATGCTCACGGTAGCTCTGAAATAACAGCAATGAGGTTTGATCCGTCCAAGAGAAGACTTATAACTGGAGGTAGAGATGGAACAGTACGGATATGGAACTTTAACAACGGCTGCTGTTTGAGCAAATTACAAGCTGTAGACAATGAAGAGGTAAAAAAAACTTCCTTGGTGTCTCCTGGTTCCCTGTTGGTCTGTTATTTTACTCAGTCTACCACACCGTTCGTAAATCACGGATATCTCAACGACATCAAAGACTTCTCCTAGATACGATAAAATTTCTGAATTTCCACCGGTTTTATACATGAATCAAGCTGTTTGATTGGCTAAAACTTTAATGAAACTGAGGTTAACACAAAAGCGCATATGTGCAAAAATGGCAACTCAGGTTACGAACATAGTCAGAGGTATACATACACACTGTATGTTTAAAATTCAGTAATCCCTTGATGAGCAAGCAAAATATTTTCGCGTGTCCAAAAAGCAAACTCCCTTTTATTTATGTTGACAAAGTTCTGCTGGTCTCTCAGATAACAGGTATCCTGTGTTTTAAACAGAAGATAATAACAGTGGGATGGAACAGAAATGTGACCATTTACAAGTAAGTACCAAAGCAGAGTACGGCTGCACGTTCATAATTATACTTCTGCCAGTTTCCAGATAGTTGTTACAGATTGAAAATTATTTTTTCTTACGTCTGAGTTACATGAAGAGAAGTAGTACGCAACTGATATTCTGAGTATAACAGCGATCTTCGCAGTAATGAACATATTTCATTCATTCCTAATAAACCCGCGAAGTGATGAATAAATGACTGTGAATTTGTGAAAACCATATATGCCGGTTCGACCAAGGAATTCACTTGTCACCGTCGGAAGTTGGATAGCAACTTGATCATTTCATGTCAGTCACTCTTGCAAGTATCTTTACTTCTTTTCAGCGTAGTTCTGGTATTGTGATGCTGCATGAATCAAATGGAAAATACAATCCCACACATGCCATTTGGGCCACCTGTAGAGAAGCACTTTCACTGGATTTTCGTATTTCACATAGCATGATTTTTTTTTTTTGTTAAAATCGTTAGTTTTGTAAATATATTTGCCTTCTCGTCTTCTGGGATTTTCTTTGCTCTAAGGAGCTGAATCACCTCAGCTTGTAAGAGGATTTCACACGAGTTTTAAACACGAGCAAGTGAACTCAGTATGCAGCAGAAACCGATGCAGTCGAGTGCACTGTTTGTTATATTCGGATTCGGATGTACATTAACAAATGTTACATGTCTTTTCGCGTTCATGGACGATTGTTGTCGTCACGGCAGATATATTTGGAGATCTGAGTCTAAAAATGCAGGGAACAAAGAAAAAGCTCGCGTCCATATGTTAATTTGATTCTTGTATTCAGGGATTGCCGGAACGAGGATCCGACGGAGGAAGAAGATCCCCGCGTATGGCCACATTTCCATGATGACGACATTCTATCTGCTGCAATGTACCCAACTGGTTTAGTGGCCACCTCTTCATATGATGGTCTCGTTAAAGTTTGGAACATTGAAAGTGGAAGTGTTAACTGTCGACTGCATGCTTGTGACTATGGCTTAGAAAGAACACAGTCTGTTATTCCCGCAGAAGTTAAAAGACTTGTTACTCATTGTAATACAGGTCAGTGAACAGTCATTGCACAAACGTAACAGTCAAATGGCATGCTGAATAACACAATCATGGTCTATCCCATAGATGTATGAATTGTTTACGTCTTGTTTGATCATTTTAAGTGACTGAAACAGAGAACAGACTTAAGGAAGAAATGTCGAGGAACAGAAGTATTTATTCAGACAAGAAGAATCGCCGCTGTACATCAATGCAATCAGTTGGGCGGCTCAAAAACTGCTCCGTGCAAAAGGACAGATTAGAAAATTCACAGAGAAGGAAAAGCCACCTTCCAGATTTATCACCCTTGAGATCTCACGAAAGTTATCATGATTCTTCAGTAGACAAGGTAAAGCAGGAATTACTTTAAAAAAATCAGAAAGCACTTGAATCAAGGAACAAAGGAATGAACGCAAGTTGTTAAAGAAAAGAATGCAGTAACCATTACTTTTCTAACTCTATCCTTACTTAGGTTATTTTTCTAGAAAAGCGCGAAAACAGCTTCACCACGGCTACCCTGATAACATCGGGGTCAAACGGCTCCGTAAGGGCCTGGAGTATCTGTGGCGGAGGTTTACTGGGTTACTTCACTGCTGCACAGGGTAACCATGATTCTGTTCTCTCCATGTCAACTAATGGTGACAATAGCATGCTCATTACCGGTGACACCGCTGGCTTTATCAAGGTAACACATTCTTGTTAACCTTAACTAAACTGATATGCAACTGAAATGACAAGCAACCGGGAATCTGTGGATTGCCAACAAGAGATTACATTGGGCTCAGTGTATAATCTTTTGCCAACCGCTCGTTCAGGCCATTAGCCGGGGAAAAAGGTGGGCAAAACACGTTTGCAGTGGGTCTTGGACTGTAAACTTGACCAAGAAGGCGATCCTTAGAAGGTGTGATCGACGAAAGAAATTCCTTGCCCATTCACATTTCTTACCTAGTTGTTTTTTCGAAGAAAAATTGATACCAAAACCTTGGTTTCAAAGCCAAAAGATCTGTTTTATTTTATGCCTTTAAAAGCACACACAACCCACAACTCATCTATTCGCTCGAAACGTCAGCTTTTGTAGTCGTTACGGTGGCCAATTTACCATTTCAACTCTGTTGATATATCCAAAAGAAGTTATTTACAGAGTTGTTAAAGCAACAATTTTTCAANTGGAAGGCGAGCGCTCTCACCACTACGCCAACCCTGCTCCAAGTGATCTCCTGTTCACGAGTACTTCTGCAATTTCATTTCATTGCACAATATACCCAGGCTAATGATTGAAGTTGGACAGGTTGTTATTTTTGAGGTAAAATAATTAGGCAAGATAAAAGTGTTGAAAATAAAATTGCGAATGCAACAGAAAGCAAAGTTTGAAAGTTTCGACAGCAGTGACTGTGATCAAGCATACAGTTATTACGGTTTACACCGCTCCCTGTTAAAAGACAAAATCTGTACTTGCATTATTACATTTACTCCACAGCTTTGGGACATATCTTGTTACTGCATAAGTAGCGGCGACCAGAAACCAGCGACACCACAACAAAGGAAACTATCCCTAGGGAACAGAAGGTACAGCCAGAAGTCGAGCAAAGCAGGAGGAATCAATACCAAGCCACCTCCACTGGTCATTTCATTCAGAGCTCATCTCCAGCCAATTGTTAGCTTAGACTTTGTCGACAACCGCCAGCTTATCATTACTGCTTCCAAAGATGCTTCTGTCAGGTTATGGACCCAAACAGGAAGATATATAGGTAAAGAAATTATTATTACTACCCAGACTTGAAAGATTCATCAAAAACTAGAGGGGTGATGAATTGCTTCATCGAAATGAATGTCTTTTGTCATGGGACAAGAAGAAAAAAATCTTTCTCTTTTTCACTACCGAGCTCAAAATATGAATTTTAATTCAAATATCTATACTGCATCATTCAGGATTGTTTGGTCAGCGGGTATTATGGGATATAGAGCTAGCAACCGAAGGATTACAACGACTTCCACCGGATATTCAGCGGATCGCTTCAGCCGAGACCCTCAGATCTTTGTTGAGTTCTCCTAGACCAAGATGGAGGTAACTGGGTTTTTCTTTTTAATGTTAATGGAGAGCTTCAATAGATCCTTTGCATCAAACGTCCGACATCTCTTTTATCATGAAATGCCCTTGAATTAGAAATTGGTGGAAAAGAAGTCAGTTTCCCCGAGAGGAAATCAACTCACGTACTAGTAGTTTGTAGTGTTCCAAAGATCCTCTTCAATCCAAATACACGCCTAACGCCAATTCTCTCTGCATAAAATTTGTTCGCTTAAAAGCGTCGATGTCTGGCGAAACAAAAATATTCTGCGATTTTACCGTCAACAATGACATCACTACGTATGGTGCACGATCCTCGCAGTAGATAGCGCTATTTAAGCAAAACCTGAAAATCAGACCTGAAAGGTCTGAAAATCAGACCTGAAAGGTCTGATTTTCAGGTCTGATTTTCGCTATTGCTTAAATAGCGCTATCTACTGCGAGGATCGTGCACCATACGTATCTAATACCGCAGTTCAAAATATATGAACTTCATATATTTCATTGTATCTAAATGACATCACTGCAGTTGCACGCCGAGTCCTTAATGATAAAACTCTGGTACTGATACCGGACTACTGTGCGGTTTATAAGTATGAAACGCAGATAAAACGCAACATCTCGTTAACTGCCATACCTTTTCACGTTCTTGATGGTATTCCTGATGGTACTGTGATACCATCGCTTTTAAAAACAGTAAGTTATAACTCATCCGTTCAAATTCGTCAAATCCGCCAAACCGGATTCGCTTTGACGAATTTGACTAAAATTTGCCAAAATCGTCCAGTCCATGGACATTCACTCGGTTTGACGAAATTTCACCAAGATACAATGAAATATATGAAGTTCATATATTTTGTACTGCGGTATTAGATACATATGATGCACGATCCTCGCAGTAGATAGCGCTATTTAAGCAATAGCGAAAATCAGACCTGAAAATCAGACCTTTCAGGTCTGATTTTCAGACCTTTCAGGTCTGATTTTCAGGTTTTGCTTAAATAGCGCTATCTACTGCGAGGATCGTGCACCATACGTAGTGATGTCATTGTTGACGGTAAAATCGCAGAATATTTTTGTTTCGCCAGACATCGACGCTTTTAAGCGAACAAATTTTATGCAGAGAGAATTGGCGTTAGGCGTGTATTTGGATTGAAGAGGATCTTTGGAACACTCCAAACTACTAGTACGTGAGTTGATTTCCTCTCGGGGAAACTGACTTCTTTTCCACCAATTTCTAATTCAAGGGCATTTCATGATAAAAGAGATGTCGGACGTTTGATGCAAAGGATCTATTGAAGCTCTCCATTAACATTAAAAAGAAAAACCCAGTTACCTCCATCTTGGTCCAGGAGAACTCAACAAAGATCTGAGGGTCTCGGCTGAAGCGATCCGCTGAATATCCGGTGGAAGTCGTTGTAATCCTTCGGTTGCTAGCTCTATATCCCATAATACCCGCTGACCAAACAATCCTGAATGATGCAGTATAGATATTT